AGTCTCCAAAAGAAAATTTAACAAAATTAAATGGCCATAGTTTCTTTATAATGCGACACCGCATTGGTTTGTCCTCCTGGTTCTTTTACATGTTGTGTATTTATTGTGTATCATTATTTTCAAAGTAAAAAAAAAAAAAGTGACTCATTTATTAAGAGACTATTTAGCTCTAGGCTACCATAATTTATTTTATTTGGAAGGCAATTTCAGTAATGATATATTTCCCTATGGAAAAAGCTATTCTACAGAATGTCCAAACAACAGAGAGCAGCATTTGAGCAACAACATGTTTAGCTATAACTGCAACTAGGTCAGCACGTTAGAAACAGGCCAACGGTAGACTAAATGAAACAAACTATAGCAAATATTGATTTTTAATTTTTTTTTTAGTTTCTTTGTTTGATTAAACCTGCTGTGAGGCAGGTTTCACAAGAAATAATGGAGAATAACCACACACATGGTGAGCTTAAATTTAAGAGAAGACAAGTCTTCAACAACAGTAACAGTAAAAAAAAAAAAATGATAGCCTATATATATATATATATATATAAATAATTAAATACAATGTTCTTTCTTTCACTCTTGAATGTAAAGCATTACACTTTATCATTTGTACTAGAAAATATTTCTCCCAACAAAAGGTCAGGGTCAGAGACAAACATTTCCATTATTTGCCTCCAGGAATCAATTTCCAGTGGCAATCATTCATTCATTCATTCATTCTTTTTAAGGCAATCATTTCTTTGAAACAGGTCTCTAATTTGCAAAGGCCTCCTCAGGCAGACACACTGAACTAATCTCTGGCATTTTCAGCAGTGCCTAATCTAAACGCTTCTGACTGGACTTTGCATTCATAAGCTTAACATAAATGTGTGTGATTGGTTATAATGATGATTGGTTATAATCGTGATGCTGCAAAAACACATAAAAAGAAATCTGATTATGAGCCAATCTAAAAGTAATGCAGCAATCTATCATTTCACAGGCCAGCCGTAATAGGTATTTTTGCCCCAAAACCCTGGACACTAGGGCTGCAACAAATGATTATTTTGATAATCGATTAATCTAGCGATTATTAGAACGATTAATCGACTAATCGTCGATTATTTCACTGATTAATCAGTAGACATTTCTTGATTATTCAGCTTTTGCAATTAGTTAAAATATTGAGTTATACATATTCTAACAAATAAATTAAGGTAATCACTTCAGCTTTTGAAAGTCAATTATGTACAATTTACAATTATGTAATTATGTAATTACAATTATACAATACATTTATACAAATAAATATATTAATGAAACGTTTTTCCCCCCACTAATAAAAAGATTTCATCATTAGCTAGCTCCACACTGGAGAGCTGCTTTATCACAAAAAATCAAGTTGTAATTGTAACTGAAAGCAACACTGACTCTGGTTTTTAAGGTTTAATACTGTAAAGCTTGATTTAAAGTCGACATGAAACGGAAGTTGTGATTGTCTTTTCTTCTCTACTGTGACGTATATCAACGGCACAAAACATGCCTAAACAGCGCGCGCGCGAGAGAGAGACACTGCCTAGTGTTGTTTTTGGCGGCCTGTTTTAATTTTAGTTTTAGTCTAGTCTTTGTGTGAAGCTGTCATTTTAGTTTTTATTAGTTTTAGTCACGTTCATACTCTTTTTAGTCTAGTCAAGTTTTAGTCGTATATGAGTGGAGCACTCACATGGGCCGTGAGCGACTGAGCGGAGCGCACACGCATAGAGCGGGATAACACGCAGGGCGTCACACCACGTGAAAGTGAATCCTGAGCTGTGAACTAATTAAATCCTGAGCGGTGATGCAGCCAGAATTTCAGTGCATCTCTAATTATTGGCAACATTAGAAATGTATATTATATAATAGCTGCTTTTTTTAACATTTTAGCAATTTAAAAATATTAAAAAAGGATTTTTTACACGGCATCCCTGCTCTTGACAGACGGCACCCCGGTTGGGAAACACTGCTATAGATCATGACAATACATTTAATTATAGTCATCGTCACATTACCAGCATTTTCGTTGCATCTCGTCTCATTTTCGTCACGTGATAAAGGTTCGTTGATGACGATATTTAGTCATAATTTTCGTTGACGAAAGCAACACTAACACTGACTGAGAGCGTCCTCCATCAGGTTAAGTCATTTTCATGAAAAAAATTTTTTTTTGCAATGTCCTAAGAGTAATGTTGTCGTAATATCCTAATATCTTTTCAATGTTTAGGGGTAACGTACTCCCTCATGACTGGTGTCAGTGCTATAAAGTGAAGCATCAGCTTCAGCTTCCCCCAGTCGTTTATCCCAGCGTTTACCCCTTGCGTCACTAGCTCCGCCCTTGCGCCATAGCTCGTGACCGAAAGAGAAGATGAGTCGTTTTGAGGGGGAGGGGAGGTTAACGTTTTTGATTAAAGATTACAAGGGCACATGAATTTTTAAAAAATAATGAAGTGCACGGATAAATTATTTATAATAACCACTACAGTATTCCATTACAAAATAAGAATTTTCTATTTTGATTTCATGGTGACTTTAAGGCTATCTATTGCATAAAGTACTATATAAATAAACGTGACGTGACTGGACTTTACTGAAGTACCGAACTGCAGAGCTCGTGTAAACATCCACATAGCTGTAGTCAGATGCGTTGTAAACTGCTGCTTTCGCACCGCTGTCCGTTTCTGTTGTGTTTATTTCGTTATTGAGAGGAACGCGCGCAGTATATATTTACATATTCATCCAAACGCCGCTCAGCAGCCTCAGGTTCGGCTGCGTTTGCTCTAAACTGAAGCGCTGTCTTCTTCTCTTTAATTGCATCAGGAGAGCTGAATTACAGTCTTGTGCTACAGCGCCACACTGGTCAAACCGCGTTATTGTAGGCTCTTACGCTAGGGCATATCAGATCAAACGACTACTCGACAACAAAAATATTTGTCGACCATTTTTTATTGTCGACGTTGTCGATAATGTCGACTAATCGTTTCAGCCCTTCTGGACACTGGGTCAAAAAGACATCTAGCCAAAACATTTCTTCTTTATAGATTTATTCTTATTCTAGGAGTAAAATAAAACACAGTACACCCATGTTTTTGCTAAAAACAAACAGCTATACACCCCGACATTCTATTCTAAAACACAACGTTCATACAAAGAGTAACTTCATTAAAGGGGTCATATGATGCGATTTCAATTTTTTCTTTCTCTTTGGAGTGTTACAAGCTCTTGGTGCATAAAGAAGATCTGTAAAGTTGCAAAGACTAAAGTCTCAAATCCAAAGAGATATTCTTTATAAAAGTTAAGAGTCAGCCACACCTACCTAAAACGGCTCATTCTAACACGCCCCACAT